CTTAATGATAACTTGAGGTTTTTGGTAGTGGTTTTGCATAAAAACTCTTCGTTACCAATTGTTGTTTTAATTTGGGCGCAGAATTTTAAGTAATCTATCGGTGTGGTGATGAAAATCGGAGGTGGTGTAGCTGGTTGAGGGACAATATCGGTATGCATTTGGGAATTATCGTCACCGATTTCATTGGCTTCGCTTAGTACGTCATAACGGTTTGGAGTGGAGAATGTGTATTTACTTTTTTCATTTTTATTACCTTTAGATTTCGGTGACATACCTGGAGATGAAGGGCGTTTACCTGTTTTGATTATCCATTCCGGTTCGGCTGATTCATTGTTATTATTTTTCGTTATAGTAATATGTAAAGGAGAATCGTTATCGTTAGAACCGTTCTGTGTGTTATTTGTAGTAACGTGTTTGTTGCTTATCGGGTTGTTAGGCATGGTGCCGCTATCTTATCTTAGGTTCCAAAGGTCACCGAGCGCGCGGTGCCTGGAGCCGGTCTTTTTGTAGATTATTAAACTAATTGAGAATTGCACTTATATTAGATTAAGACTATAATTTGTAATTTATTAAAGTAATAACTTTACGCGCACAACGCGTGTTCGAATACTGATTATTTACGTAAAAATTCGAGAAAAATCGGTTCTAATATAAGAATGCTGTGGGCACATTATACGAATTATGTTAACACTGGTGTGTACTGTACGACTGCTCGCGAGTAACTGATTGATTAATATTAGCCAATATTTAAGCACTTTTCTCACAAACGACTTAGATGGGTCGATAATAATTTTAAGATAAATAAAAATTATTAAATTACTAACCTTTGAATATTTTGATTTGTGGGTATATAATTTGAGTAAAGTATGCGTTATAAATATATATCAGTACGTGCCACCCATACTTTTTATCTACTTTATATATTAAAATGTTTTCGAGTCATTCAATTTCTTCTAAAATTGTTATGGACCCATGCAATAATTTTAGCTTAAATTTTTAAGAAATTTTTTAAAAAATTTATTAAAAATGTTTAATATTAATTACTATTTGTCTTTCAAATAAATAAGACAAATGTATCTATTAATGTATAACTATTGAGTTTTTAGTTTTCATTTTAAAAAAGCATCCGCAATAAAAAAAATTAGGTAAATTAACAACTTAAGTATAAAATTATAAAATTTTACATGTTTCTTTTGCAACTGTTTATTTAAAAAAACCTATAATCTATGAGTTGCAAATTAAATATCAATTAATACCATATAAATTAATGTTAACTATATTTTTGAAAATTATTATACTTTATTACTTTACATGAAGGTATAATTGTTCAAATACATTAATACATGTTTAATAATTTAATATATTTATTATAAAGAATTTTTCTTATTTAACATAAAAAAAATAAAACAGATAAATTTTAGAAAAAGAAAATTAATCAAATATCAACAAAAGTACTCTCATCATTTTCTTTGTTATATGAAAATCCAAGATCGATGTAATATAAATTTATAAAATGGTTTATAGTTTCTTCAAATTGATCCTTGAGAAAATCTATGTTGCTTGAATACCCTGGTTGTAATTCTTTGATGTTGCAATACTCTTCATATTTTAACTGTGATTCTTCTTGGCAATAGATAGATATTTTAATTTCATATTGTAATAACACTTGTGTGAGTGCACCAGTATGATTATACGGTGGACTCAAGTTCCAAATAAAGTCCACATCGTCTTTAAGGATTATTTCATCCAGTAAACTAACGAAATGTTTTATTATTGGTAGTAAAAAATTATTCAATTGTAACTCAGTCAAATTTTGAAGAAAATTCATTGCACTTATAAGTTTTTGAAGCACATAAACCGATTTATTAACGCAATATTTCAACGACACTATACACTTTTTCAAATCAGCTTCGTAATGCATGTTATCTTTATTTTGACTTATACCATTGCATAAAGAGGCAAATTCAAATAATCTAGATGATATCCAGTAAAATATTTTAGTATATTCCCAATTCAATAAAAGAGTAGTATTTGATAATTTGTCTAGAAAATTTTCAGAATTGACATTATTTTCCTCTGATAAATCATTTAAAATTAATTCGTTTAATTTAACTTCTTTTTTAGCTAAATAATCATATAAACTTTCTTCATTAAGTTTCCACTTACTTTCTTTAAGAAGCGAATTTAATATTTTGATGGCATCTTCCTTATTATAAAGGGTTGAATTAACTAGACTAAATATTACAAATATCCCCACCAAAGCTTCGATAGTTTTGGTCATTGTTATTACAGTTCTTAAGTATGACTATAACTAATAAAAACGAATTTTAACTTCACAACTGATATAAGTTATGAATACAAAAAAACTATTTATTAAAGTTTTTGATTTCACATTAACGTCACTAAATGGTTTGGTATATTATTTTATTTCATACCAATATATTATTTCAGCGTTGACATGACAAATATCGAGTGTTTAATTACAAATATTGAATATATGACGTAAACCAAATCTCAGACATACAAATTTTAAATTTAGTATAATGTAAAAGAATATAAATTCATTTATTAAAAAAAAAATCTATGTTAAAATTTAATATTTTTAAATAAAAGTATTGCTGTTAATGCTATCAAATATTGTTTACGAATAGGTAGGGGGCGGTGTCACGCAGGTTTTTTAAATTTCAGTTAGTTTGTAGTCGTAAATCAGATACCGAATGATAAGTCTGGCGCATCTGAGCGCACCTAAAGTTTTATTTACATGTAAAATGTAAAAGCTATATCGTAAAAATTCTTGTTCAATAAATGGCTAAGACACGCATTGATCATATAAGGATGATCATACTTTGCTAATCAGATAATAATTATTGACTAAATATACAGCTGAACTTTTGAAAACGTTCCGAAAATTCTTACACTTTTAAATATATCTTAAATTAAAGCTTATGTAATATCCTTTATAAAAAACAAAACTATTGTTGTCAGGACTTGTTTTCGTGGTAAATATCAAAATAAAAGTTAAAGAAAAAATTACAATTTTTTGTAAAAATCGCAAAATATAGAAAATTTGATAAATTGTTGTATAAAACATTACTTGAATGTGTTTTTGTCAAATTAATGTAAACTTCATTGGTGTATTCAGAGAAAAAGAGGGAGACCAATACTCCCTTTTTTTTTTTTTTTTTAAATTTTCTGACTAAACCTCCATAATTTTTAAAAAATAATTTTGTAATGGATATTTTTTCGTACGTTTTATAGCAGTTATGAGAAAGGGGTAGTGAGGGTCCACCTAAGTCTTCCTTAAAAAAATGTTTTTTTAAAATTTTCTATGTATCAATTTTTTTGTATTATTTTATATAAATAGATTTTACTTTTTATAAAACTAATTTATTTTAAAATACCATTTGGGAGACCACAGTGATGGGTCACTGATTTTCATCAAAGTTGTATAAATCTAATTTACATTATAGTCAAGCTTATTTTCAACTTTTTGTCAATGTCCCCTTTAGTTGATAAAAATGATTTTAAAAAATGGAATCAGCTTAAATTGTTTTTTTATCGTCCTGCAATTGAAATGGTCAATTACCGGGATCGTAATGCGTAAGAGTATTGCTTTTGAAGTACAGATTATTTTTATGCACATTGTAATATATTATAAATTGATAACAGTCAACTCATGTGATAATAAGGTGGTTTGGGAAATGGGAATGATCACCGTTATGTTCAATTATTGATGTGATGTTAAACTTCATTATGACATCATTTTCGATCTCCTCTATGACTGGTTGCAATATATTACTCAAGTTTTCCATCATGGTCGGTGATTTAACCATCATATGGAACAATAAACTAAAAATTAGATTTGGCCATTATATGACACATATAAAAATGGTACTAAGATTTTTGTACATTAAGGTTATTTCACTTCGACCTCATCATAATTGTAAATGGTATAATTATTATTTCTTTGCACAATGTGCATTTTTTATTTCATTTTGATTGTTGTTTAGTTAACTATATGATCACATTAAGTTTTTTTTTTCTCTTTTAGTTAATAAATATATACATTTAACTTATGCTGTGATCATATATATGATTTCGAATATCCTATAACTTTCTTTTATTGTTTTAGTTTTCCCCTTTTATGAGTTTGAATCCTTGGTAGACATTCTGAACATAGCATTAGGTCCTCTACAATTATGTAGAGAATACCCAACCCAATCTATATTACCTATATCTGGTAACATATTTATGAGGCTTGTATTCAAAACTGACAAATTACTAAATTGAGATTTTAAGGTTTTTATAGTCTGCAAAGAAAAGGATTTTTTTTGTCATGTGGCAAAAATTAAATGTCAATTTTGGAAGGATATTTATTTTTTTTGATTAATTTACACAAAAACTATTGAAATTAAATATTTGTTTTGCTCTACAAAAAATATACTGAAAATGAATTACCTGCTTCCTGAAAATACTCAAAAACTTTTATTATTTTAATTTATTAATTTTTAATACATAGAAAAAAAAAAATAAAATAATATTTCTATGTAGACTTGATTTATGCTCATTATAATTGTTCCTTTTTGTTGTTTCTTAATTTAAAATTACTTTTGGAATATAATTTTTCTCTATTGTAATAACACAAAATTTCTGAAATAGTAAAAATTAAAAATATATGAATTCATTTTAATATCTATCATATATTAAGGAAATTCTAAAAATTATATTTTGAATTTATTTTGAAATTCATTCAATATGCCACTAAAATAACTTTATCAAATAAAAAGAGAGTCGTTCTAAATAAAAGGTACGGTGTGTAGTTGAGTCAGCAATGCAAGAATACCTAATGTTCATCATCTTATTTTGTATATGCCATAAATTGTTAGATAACTAATAAAAACAGAAAAACTAACTTTATAATTCCATTTTCAATCATCTTGTAACACATGTTAACGTAATTTATTTCATCCAAATTTTGTACAAATTATTTTTCATATAATAGAACAAGTCTAAGGGCATATTGAATGAATTTCCAAAAAAAAAAAATTGATCTATGCTGTGAAATACATAGCTGTAAGTCGTTCTAATATGCATGCAGGTATTTTCCTTAATTCTAGTTTCGAAAAATATATGCCAGATATTATATTTTATTCATCGAAGGGTCATATTAAAATAAGTTAAAGTATTTGTAAAATAATTTTTATTTTACCAAAAAATATAACTTGAATTTAGTATTCATGATAAAAAGTTTATTTATTAAAAGTTTAAACGATAAAAAGGAATACAAATAATATAAGTAAAATAATTTTTTTTCTTCATTATAAAATAGAATAAAATTAAAAAGAATTCGATTAAAAACACTTAATTCAGAGAAATAATAAAATTGATATACTCTTTTATTTTTACAATAGCTCTATTTCAATAATTTTTTTTCAAACACATTAAAAAAATATTAGTTTTTTTTATCAAATTTTGATTTATATGTTTTACATACATGCTTACTATTAATATATCATATTAAATTAAACCTTATTAGCAACGTTACTTATTAGTAACATTTTTATTATTTTCTTATTTAACACAACCTTTTGAAGAAGAAACAATTACTAGTATATATCTTATTATTTAAATTATTACATTAAATTTTTTTAGCTGCTATGTGAAGCTGAATATGTTACTATTAATATTACTATGATGTATTTATTTTACTTTTTTTTTTTTGTCAAAGATCACAATTCGTATCTAGTCGAAGATATTATCGTCAAACATTGAAAAAAATTTCCTCGAGTACATGGGAAAAATTTCAAAAGCAATTACAATTTTAAAAAGCAGTAATTTCGACATTCTTAAAACTTTTTTTAATAAACGTTGCCATTTTAGAGATAATGGCAAATTTTCTACCAAAAATTAACAATTTCAACTTGATTTTTGAAAATATTCCGGAAATACTGACACTTTTATGTTTATATTATACAGGATGATTTTTTTATCATAACCCACTCAATTACTTACAGAATAATAATAAATTAATAATTTTTTTTTGATTATCTTTAGTTATGACACGGCCCGCGTCGCTTCGTTATACACGATGCCCCGCGACTCGTGCCACCTTTATCAGCCGTCGCCCTACTATGAGTATTTGACTGACCAACACCGCGTGTTATACGCTACGGTGCAAAGTNTTTTAAGTTCATCCCTTATGCCTGGTAAGGGTGTCAACTTTGTTTTTTTAAATGGTAACACATATTTTTAATTTAATAAAATGTTTGAGTTTTTAATTCAATAATAAATGGCATTTGAATTTTTAATAAAACTTAATTTGTTTATTAGATATAAACATTTAAAGTTTAAAATTTTTGAGTTAATATATAGGTATAATACACAAGGGATTACAAATACAGGTAGCTAATTGGTTTTTTATGACATCGATATTAGCAGGTACACAGCATTGTTATTATCAATGATAGTAAGGTACATTGTTGTGAGTTTATAAATACACTAACTGACAATACAAAATGTATATCTATTGATAGTCATAATTGATAATAAATAATCCGTGACTTTGATAGCAATATCAGAAAAAACCAATTAGCTACCTGTATATGTAATCCCTTGTTATTATACCTATATATTAACTCAAAAAATTTGAAACTTTAAATGTTTATATCTAATAAACAAATTAAGTTTTATTAAAAATTCAAATGCCATTTACCATTAAATTAATAACTCAAACATTTTATTAAATTAAAAATATGTGTTTCCATTTGAAAAACAAAGTTGACGCCCTTACAAGGCATACGGGATTAACTTTAAAAGTATTACATAGTTAATAATTCAAAAATAATGTGTAACTAAAGATAATAATAAAAAAAACTGTTTAAATTATTATTATTATTCTGTAAGTAATTGAGTGGGTTATGATAAAAAAATCACCCTGTATACTTTGATTTGAAAAAAAATTAAAAATACTCTAGATTGTCTTTATGGTGAAAACGGTCATCAAAATTGAAAAATAAAGTACTATTATTGTATAAAAATTACAAAATTCAAAATTCAAAATAATATAATAAATTGTTGTACAAAAACTTATTTTAAATTAGTGTAATAACTGCTATGGCCTATTAAGTAAGGTAGATTAGAAAACAAATCCTCGCCATTTTTTATTAGAAAATATTTATTTGGCTTTAAAATTTTATAATTGAAAACAATATTTTTAAAAAGATATATTTTTTTTAATATTGTACGTTTTTCAAAGCTATGAAAAAAAAATTTGTACACATTTCCCTATGCCTCCCCAACAGAAGGAATCAATTTGGAATTCTCTGTAATACATTATTTTTTTTTTAATTTCAATTTTACATTGTGAATACTTTTTTAAAAATGTACAACTAGGCGATTTATATGTTTTAAAATATTATACAAGTGGTTTACACTGATTTCCAAAAAATTATATGATTCTAATTTAATTACAATAATGTTAAACTTTGTTGAAATCAGATCAAAAATTGATTTAGAAAAGTATATTTTGGTCTCTAATAAAAATTCCTTGTAGACCAGTAAGTTTATTTATAAGTAACAAAAAAATTTTTTTTGAAAAGTATTGCATTTAATTTATATATACGTTTACCATAATAGTAACAACTACTTTATAATTTTTATAATTTCTCCGTAAAACTTACAATATTAAATTATTAAATATCAATTTCATACTATATTTAATTGCTATTATAATAGTTNACTTTATAATTTTTATAATTTCTCCGTAAAACTTACAATATTAAATTATTAAATATCAATTTCATACTATATTTAATTGCTATAATAAATAGTCATTCATATATTATACTTATTAATCATAAAACTTGTAATCAGAGTATAAATAAGGTAATAGGAGTTCATTTTGCTTTTGGAATAATCCACCAATTTCTTAAAATTCAACACTTTCTGCAGATTAGCATCGAAGCGTTTCTTATTATAGGGATTTTAATCACTGTCAGATATCAACTATACTTGTATCAATTATTGCACATTTCCAATGTACTACCATTTTTTTAAATTAAGAAAGTATAAAATCAAGTTAAATTTTAAACAATTTACCTTTTACATTGCTTTCTGTTTTCGTTAGTGGTTCAACAATGCTACTTTTATAATTAAATATCTTTTGGATATTCATTAACAAATATTGATTCTTCACAAGATTAGTGACATACTTTTTCATTTCTTCAATATTTTCATTAGTTTTATCAACGATATTTCTGCACTCAAAATATTTTAGTTTATTGTCAAAATCTTGAATGTTTCCATTAAATTTTAATTTATTCATGAACATAATTTTTGACATTTTTTGAATAACAGAATGCAAGTTTTTTGGTTTGAGGTACCATATGTAATCTGACATTTTTTGACACAACTCTTTTAAGAGTTCGTTGATTTCATTATTATATAAATTAGAGCTTACAATCTTTTGCAAAATATATTTGATTAACACTCGAAAATTATAAATATTGACTTGGGATTTGCATAAATAATATCGTGTAGTATGTACCTTATTAAACGTATTTAAAAAATCCACAACCGCAGTAAAAACTGGATGTATCGTAGCAGCAATTATTTGATGATGATAATATTTTATAAATTCCACATCAAAATTTAAAATTGCCTTTTCGTATAGATTAACGACACTATATACTTCATTTGAGTCGGTAAAAACTTTAACATTTCTTAATAAAGCTAAGCCGTCATTAACTTTAATATTTTCTTTATTATATTTACTATAGGGATGCATTATATTATATAACAACAAGTTTGATGGATGATAATCAACGTAATTTTTTTTTTGTATAGTGTCCCAAAAAATCCTGTTAGATTTATTTTTCATTTCATTTAAACAGTTATAAATTACATCAGGATCTTCTGTATCACATTTTTGGAAATTATCAGACAAAATATGAAACTTTTTGTCAATTTTTTTAATTTGAAACAAATCAACGAAAAAATTATGACACATATTAGCATTCAAGAATTCAGATAGTTTTTCTGTAATTAATTTGTAGTTGATTTTAAAACCTTCTCGTAAAATTTGTCCATCCGTTACAAATTTAAATTTGTCGTCCTCTTTATTTATAAACATGTACAGATGTCCTCCGATGTTATTTAAGTACAAATTTACTGTCATTAAATCTTCCGAAAGTTCTGATAGGTTTTGCTCTCGTAACTCGTCAAGCATCGCCAACACAATTATACTTTGAGTTTGTAAATTGCTTGCATAATACTTTATATGATCTATATAAGTTCCATGTTCCCGGTACGTTAATTGAAAATACTTTTCATTGAGCTGAAAAAATTTTAACATGTAGGAAGAAAAAATACAATGTAACTTTACATTGCTGAAATTAAAAACTTTAGAAAATGCTACTATAAACAAAGTTAAAAATAATAAATTTCTTAGACTCATGTTATTAAAAAAAAATTAATTAGTTCACTATAATGGCTTTGTTCCTTATTTTTCTCTTAAGTTGTTTACAAGTAATACAAAGCTCTAATATTTAGTTAGTTAAATAACACTCTAGTGTACATAATACTGTACGTATTCACGATTTGTCAAACAACCACATAAATTATATTTTAGTCAAATAAAAAATATTGTGGATATTATTTATTTCGCAAAAAAGTAGATTATTTATAGATGTTTTTTTTTAATAATCATTAATATAAAATAAATCATTTTTCAATAACAACTAATAACTCCCCGAAATTTGGGAAATATATTTATTATATTAATAAATTATAAGCTCTTATAAGGCGTTTTCCTTGATTGTTTTGTTTACAAACTAATAATTTTTTTATTCGTAAAAACATTTCAATTTTTAATCTACATATGATATGTTGTAATACTTGTATTATTTATTAAAAAACAGATAATTATTATACTGTACTATTTCTAATATTTGAATATAGAAATTTTAAATTGAAATATAGAAAAGATCAGCTTATAAAGTCAAAACATTAAATTATTCTTTACGAAAAACTATTGGCCACGATTGATTTTGCTATCACCATCTAACATAATATTTTGAACCTTAACCAGAAAATCAATGTATTATTTGACCAGAAGAAGTTCCAAAGTTATAATGTTAAAAATTGTTAATTTTAATCACGATAAATTTAAGGTCCTAACTTATTTTCTCCTCTTGATTTATCTCTCCTAATCAATTAAATCATCACCTAAAAAAAAAAAGACATTAAAAGATAAAAAACTTGATGAGCTAATGTAAAGGTCTAGTTTTGCCTATTAATAAAACTTATTTTTGATATAAAATTAGTAATTTTCCATACGGCTTAATACATTTTACTTCATAGTATTTATCAACTGTGTTTATGCCGAAAATATTTAACTAGTAGAAAACATATTATTTTTCTACACAAACTATTCATTTCACGAATACTATTAAATAATCATATATATTCCAATTAATATCAAATTGTAGTTTATTCAATACTGGATAAAAAATATACTGAGTATTACTCAGAAAGTAGGAACTATACTTTGCCTGATAAAATTTTCAAGCGTAAAATTATTCCATAGTCTGATGAAAGAATTATTTCATCAACATTTAAAAGTTTGCAAAAACAGTATACAGCAAACTTTAAGTCCTCCCAAAAATATTCGTTTATATAAATATTTAATAATAGTATATCCTTATATAGTAATTTAAATTAATAACTTTTTAGGTTTCATACCTAAAAGTTTCAGTAGAAAGAAGTTAAAAATATCGATTTTAAATATTGTATAAAGTCTAATAATATTTTATAATTTTTTACAAGATTAAACTTATTTAATAAATTTAATTTCATTAAATATAACTTATAGAATTATAATATTTCAAACGAATATTTTTATCATTAATTTTCATAATTTAGTTTTAACTACAGAAATATATGAGGAGTTAACTACCATTTAGTATTACAGGGATCTTTTTACATGATCGATAATAACTATTAAATCGTTTATTAACATTTACTGTAAATATTTTTTCGACTAATAATGAACATGCATTCAATTCTAATATGAAAACTTTTAAATAATCATATTAAAACAATGAGGAAATAGCAATAATAAGTATGGTATAATAATTTATTCAAACTTTGTTTACTGCTAAAAGTAACCATCTGTTGCAATGACGTTAATAACAAACATTTTTTGGTTTACTTATGAATTGTTTACAAAAAACAATTGAAATTTATATGTGTAGTAGTTACGTATAGCCCAATTTTATATTTTTTAATTATTCACTAAAAATCAAGACAAAATATTATTGCTAAAAATTGCATTCAACTTTAATAACTTAAGTTTTTTGAATCTTTAAGAATCTACTTTATTATAGCATTATTTTTAGTAACTAAAAAATATTACATAATATATATACTAATAATGTAATAAAATAATGTATATCCAAAAGTTAATAAGTTGCAAAAATGTATTTTTGAAATTTGTGTAGTAAAAAATTATGAATAAATTTATAAGATTTTATTTTTTCGTTCATTAAAAATCTACATAAGACACCATTGAAATTTCAAATTATTTTTTACTCAAATGAATATGTTTAGAATTGACATAATAACTTTAAAATAAAACATATAATTAACTGTTCAATTTTCTATTTATTGCACATCTGAATGTAAATACATCTACTTACATTTAATTTAGTAAGTACACAGCTATAAACTGTCTAATAACTAATTTATTTATTTTATTTTTCTGTCAATTAGTAGATCTATTGAGTTCAAGTCTCTCTTTACACTAATTAAACGCCATTAACAAAACACAATAGTATTTTTTAAATCTTTTGAAGATGTAGCTATTTTACATTCCTTTTTAAAAGTTTTTGAAATAATATTTTTTATTCGTGTTATACACAATATGTATAAGAAAATATTTTGTAACTTAATATCACATGGAAATAAACAAGTAATTCGATTATACTGCGTATGAAACTCTACATGGGTTTCATATCGTACCTTATTTAAGTATTCTATTGAAATACCTACAATCATTTTTGTGTATTAAACTTAAAGCCCATTATTAATGTTTGCGGTTATAATATCCCATCATGTACCGGTGTATAATACCAAATTAATGTCATACTAGTAGTACACAACTGTTACTTACATTATATGAGGTTTTAATGTAATATCATTGTATCGAATTAACTATGTAATATTAACGAAAATACGGATGAACTCTCGATACTCTCACTCCTTCATATGTAATTATCAGGATAATTTAATGTGTTCCGAATATGATGACGAATTCTGTTTGTCCAAAATTACATTTTCATGAGGATACTTCGATCCTTGAACGATATCAATTTCTTATTAAAGTACGGCGATATATAAAAAAAAAATTTATTTTACTACTACTGGTAAAATACATTTTTAGATAAGTAAAATATGAATAGTTTGGTATTAGGATATTAATAATTACACATAATCCATTGGACGTTTGAATAACACACTAATTTATCAATTATATAAAACTCGTTATATTAAAATGCATCAATTAAAAGTTATCAGACCTAATTTTAACATTTTATCATTAATTATGAGCAAGGCTCAAAACTTTTAGCTTTTGTATATTTTTTAAAGGTTTTAGAGATACATGAGTTATATATTTGTTTGGGATATCAATAAGCTAAATGCAAAATATTATAATCTATACTTTTACATATTTCAAAGTTTAAGTAACACGGTTTTGTGCAATAGCTATAGACTCTGATTATAAAATAAAATAAACGATTTTTTTATTACTTGTTAGATTATTATAAAACTATAAATAGTTTCTATGTTTAAAACTTGTATCATTACTCTGATATTATTTACATAATAAATCTACAAAATGCTATCCCAGGATACCTACAATCACGTTTATATTATTATGTAATAATAATATTAATATTAAGTTATTGAGTTGGGATTTTAAACATAATTAATCGTATCGACTGTAAAAACTTAATTGGTGTTTATTGTGCATTTGCATAAAATTGTGTGATTTCAGAAGTCCATTATATTAAATCAATGTTAAAATATATTATTTAATATTAATAATGTTAAACACTTTGCCATATTTAGTTTGAATTACCATCTTTATTTTACTGCGCTGTTATCGGAACCAGTTTTTATGCAGATTCATTATAATACTTAAGTAATTTACTTATACATAAAATACAAACATATTAGGTGTAATTTAAAATATACAGCTAAGTTAAAGGTCCATTAATTTGTCTCGGCGTTTGAACAAAATGTCGTATATAGTTACAGACATGCAACAGCTGCTTTTATTATATTATGCCGCCGACAGGCGACTCGTGTGTGCTGTAATACTCCTAAAAAATATGTATATGTATAATATATCGAGTTTTGTTAAAACAATCACACTAACATGAAATATATTTTAACGATAATGATGTTTTTAAGCCTTTTTTATCATTTTATTTTATACAGACGTCGGCAGCGTGCGCCAGTCCATTAGTAGCGTCTGATATTATTTTCTGTATATTTACACATTACGTCAAAACTTAACAAACACTTCTTTATGATATTATTCGATGTCAATAGTAAAAGAAAATTATTTTAAATATGTTTTTTATAACAATACCGTCGATTTATTTAACGAATACTATAATCGTTGCAGTTACTCTATTAAAATCTATTTAATTGCAATGATAAACTTTTGCCATCAAATGATAATTATACAATTATGACTTGTGTACAAAAATGTTATCGAATCATTTAATGTAAGATATTTTTTCTGGATGTTTTTTAAACTTAATACTTCTTGATAATTATCACCAATTTGTAACAAACATTTAAAGATTTAAATATTGTAGTTAATTGATTGTACATTTAGTAGAAGAATGTAATATAATGAAAGAAGCCAGTAAAAACCTGGATCATAATCCAATTCGTCGTCACAAGAAATATGTTACTGACTACATTAATAATTAATTATTTTATAACCTTTTACCCAAACAATATAATTATTACTTAAGTTTAGAATATGCATATAATTTAATTGACACCGTTAATGATTAAATGAACATTTACTAACATTTTTTTCTAAAGAAATATCAACATGCTATTTTATGATCCTTAAACTAAGTAATATCATTTTTAATTTTGATGACAGTGTATACATCTTTTATGTCAAAAATGAACAATTGCATCATTTTCACACGAATTTTATTATTTGCAATTTTATGCCTATGACTTACATTTTTTTAATAAGGTTTTTCATACATTGTGTTTAATACGCGTACTTTTATTAATACTAATAACTTTCACCCCTCTTACTCTACTGCCACCGTGCCAACAACCCACATCGTATGTGCAAGCGCTAATACAAATAGTAATTGGGCCTCGAGTTTTCGCAGAACGAACGGTTAATTACATTTTAGTCTCCACCCATGACATATAATATAATACCAGAGCGTTTCATTTTATGATTAGTTTGTTACCGTACGGCCACTGCTAAAGCCCATTTAACCATGTCACGCTCTCTAGCGCCCATATTCTCACCCTCATTAACACTTGATAATGAAAATTTATGGCAATAGCTTCAACTACCTTATATTAAATAACACATATAATGAAATCACACTTTTAAGCTTACAAAGTTTGTTGAAAATTATTTTTTCCGTAAAACTTTTTTAGAGACTAATAGCATCGAATAAAGAGTATTAAAAAAAACAACCTCGTGACTAAGTTTCCAATTCACCGTGTTTAAATGTGACGATATTAAAAAATACCGTTGCCTGTAATTTATAAACTAGGAGAAGACGATACTTGAAAGTTAATAGAAATAAAATACACAAGTCCGTTTAATACTGACGGTTTTGGAACTCTTCCGTTGGGCACCTCAAAATCCCATTCAAAAACTTACACGAAAAATACGTTAACATAACAGGTAATCTTGTAACTCTTCTGCCATGTTAAGGAATCAAATTCACAACATGTACAAGTGACATAGTGTACTAAAAAAAAATTGACTCAACGCATTTAAAGAAGTTATACATTACCAATTTATTAGCCTTCAAGGCTTAAAACTGAAATTAGACTCAGCCAACATCAAAAAAAAAAAAATTGAAAACTCGTCTATTACAATGGGTGAATTTTCAAGTTCAGGTCATTTAAGAAATATATACATATATAGAATGATTGATTTATCGCCGACATAGAATTTCTTCTAAAATAATAATAATTTTGAAAACTTTTTTTTTTTTAATATTGTTTATTACTTTATTTTTTAGTGATTAAATNGTGAATTTTCAAGTTCAGGTCATTTAAGAAATATATACATATATAGAATGATTGATTTATCGCCGACATAGAATTTCTTCTAAAATAATAATAATTTTGAAAACTTTTTTTTTTTTAATATTGTTTATTACTTTATTTTTTAGTGATTAAATTTTTGTTGGGTCTATCCATTATTTCTTATGAAGGTACACACTTTATTTATTTTAATTGGAAAATACATATACAACTAATTTATATAATAGAAAATGATCCAATTAAGCCAATTGCTGATCGATAACAACTTTTGAATTAGTATTTCGGAAGTCATTAACATTTTTAAATGTAGATTAGAGTTAAGTTACGGTTCATACTATTTTTATAAAAATGTCTAAATTTATTCTTATTAAAATTCGTAATTTTTTAGCGATTTTCATAATTTACGGTAAAAGGGAACGTTTTCAATTTTGTGGGGTAATATTTTCAACTAGATACGATTTATAATCTTTTGACGTATTGTTGAAAAAAATCGGTCCTGTGAAACATGAGAAATAGAAGCGACAGACACAAAAAATGAAAAATATTCACATAATAGTAAAATTAATACCTTATTAAATTCGCATTGAAGTTAAAAATATTAAGGTAAAAATGTATGTTTTAACTTTAACTAACTATGAATAATTTTATTCGTAATGCATATCATGGTAATCTATAAAATTAAGTAGGTATAATAAAATAATTGAACGCTAAAGATGTAATTTCGTAATAAATTATTATAAGACTAGAACATTACCATTTGAAATATTCTTCGATAAGAAAAATGTTTTAAAAATTCAATACTATTATAAAATAAATAAAAGCACGTAATTGGTCGGTCGGATTTTATTAAATATTTAGAATACATGTTTCTTCCGTCTTGTAATATTATTGTGTGGAATGGGCAGTATTCGTATAACCGGATGCTCATAACGCTAAAAGCATAAGACAATGAAGACATTGCCTGCGATAAATTTTCCATCCGATACATATTCCAAGCACGTAATCCGACAAACAAAGAAATTACCGTTTTATTATCAAAAGTGGACGCGTAAATGTTTGATGAACATTGATGTGATTGTTACCCAGAATCCTGTTTAAAACTTGAATTTATCCTCTTGTACACAAATTCACTCCATGTCAAAATTTCGAGTTGTAACAAATTAATATGTGTCTGTTTTATAAATTAATCTCGAATTAATTTTGTTAGAGCGACTGCTAACACACTCAAGTCGGCTCATAATAGATGTATGTTATACTACATGTATATAAATATAATTTTTTTTGCGGTTAGATACACCTCAAGATCTTTAGAGTTATATTATTAGGTGAAATATTATGCAGTAATATGAATACGACCATATACTCAAAGTCAATATACTCGAAATGACCAACACTCAAATTAAAATTAAAATAGTTTTTTGCATTAATTTACTTTATTGATTTTCTACTTGATTTACCGGCGATAGCAGTTGAAAATAATTGTATTGAACTGAAAAATTGATAAGACAATCGAACACTAAAACCTGGTTAATACCTGCGTATAGTTCTCATTGCAGTTAATACCGTTCGTTTTAAAACAAGGAAACAAGTGTAGTATTATTTTCGGATAATCGTTTCCTTTCATTTATTGGGTCGTCATATAAATAGTACCTTATAGTACAACACGGTAAAATCTATAATGCGTTTTCAAACTAGTGTTATTTTCTTCTGAATCATTAATATAAACTGTAAGGTTCCTACCCTTAGATTACTGCTGCCGACTTTATCGTGACCGTGTGAACCGATAAATCCCAAGAAAACAATTAGGAAATTACTTATTTATAAATCGATTAAAATATCTTTGAAAAATAATTGTAGAAGAGTTGTGTTTTGAAATTTACTTTAATTTGTGATTTTAGTGTGGCTAACCACTGAAAGAAATATTGTTAATACCCGAAAACTATTATTTACTGTTATTTCAATATTTTATTTAAAATTAGTTATCATTATTCTAGTTGACTCGTGAAAACCCATCTAAAAAATATTAAATTTAAACTATATTATATATACTCGACAGTATTATTTAAATAGTGACAAATTTTAATATGTAACGTGGAAAATTCACCTAAAATCAATAATTTATCGACCTATAAAATTTGATTGATAACGATCATTTAAAATTATTAACGGCATTGGTAAAGTGGTACAGTTTGCAAGGATATTAAGATTCCTCGTCGTGTTCCATAATGCTATCTAATGTTGTTTACTACATCGTTTCCTACACAATGAACCGACCTGTGCAGTGTGTACGTCTGAATTAGTATTTAGTGTGCAGCCACAAACTGCAATCTAACCTAGTCGTCCCGGCTAATCGTCGTTAAGTCGTTAAAAACCGAAATCAACCACACCGATAAACGTTACCATAAACGACGGTCGCCGTTTTCTCATGAACCAGCTTGGAGTTTAATGGACGACGCTTATACTGACCCCTGTGATTATGAACACGAAGGAGCCCCCAAAGTGCGCAGTTATTAGTTAATAATGTACGCGCGGGGGGTTACTGGGGGCGGCACGGCGACCAATGACTGTTTTCATGTAACGACGGTGACATCAAAATTAGGTGTATTAACTTGCTTCTCGGCAGGTATCTACATAGTTGTAATTAGGATACGAAAAATTAGATATTTAAAGACAAAAATGATAGTATGTTAAAGGTAGACCGAAACATGTGCACGTCGTTTGTTTAACAAAAAAAAAATATAATATAATAATACAGCCGGAATGAGTGGTTTATACGACGAGCTGGCAGCATAAGAATTACACTTGTGTGTAATATCAAAAAACAACATTTCATGAGTTTAGGCTTATACATGCGGTTTTATGGTTTCGTGTATGCTCAGCAGACGTTTTCAACGTTATTACATATTTTGAAGGTTCTTTTAGTTTGGTCGAATATAATTCTTAACAAATAATATTTCTTCGGAATTCAATGGTAGTATTTCACGTAATTGTCTGTAAAAGCCAATAGCAATCTAATATTTTTAGGAATTAAAAAATTGTTATTCTCTCTATTCTTTTGTGACATTGCACGTAATATTGTTTAACATTTTCAAGGTAAGTCAACTCTCATAATTAACTCAGTCATAACTTGTCATAAATTTTTGTTTTGGGTTAATTGCATAAAAAAACAATAACTGTAAGGAATCCAGAAAAACGTACACGGAGAGTACATCATATGTTTATGTTAAAAAATTTACTAGAACATAAATTTAATTTAATACAGCATATATACAGTAATATATGTACTTACGAGAAACAGTCGTTTCAACCAACTTTACCACTAGACACGTACTTTATATTCTATACAATATATTTTCTGAAGTATATGTACACATACGTTGGATGATATCATTACTGCGTTCTTCACGTGAAATAAATAATGTACCAGCTTTCCCAATATAATATTCATTAATCGCAGATATCTATTTTAAAAGTACTAATTAATGGCGAGTTGCAATAATTAACGGTTTTAAACTCGAATCAAATAAGAATAAATTTTAATGACAATATGATACTTAATAATAATATTTTACCATGAAATGGTAATTTCTTTTGTGTAGAATTTTATTGGTATAATTATAAATAGCTCGATTCACCTTGGTAAACTGATGAGGTCGTAACCTAGAACATTTAAGTCTAACAAAGCGCAATAAGTAATACTGCAAATAATTAGTACATAATATATATATATATAATTGACAGAATATTTATAACAATCTATGAAGTAACACAACATACTTCATTTAATATCTCACGATCTCGACTTTGTGGTTATGCTTAAAAAAGAAATATTGAGTTGTTGGAAATGATCTGTGACGTAACTTAATAGAAACCAATAGTTACCATGACTAAAAATGTTTGAAAATCTGTGATAATATATTCAAAAATGCACAGTTCAAAAAAATATTAATAATTGTTTAAATTACTGTTTCAAACGTATTGCATGGTTTAATTAATCAAGTTTTCTTTTGAAATAGTTAATAAACATCATAATAGTTTCGCTAAATAGTTGTAAAAATGATCACGGAGAATATACATATTTGCATGACATACAAAACTTATTGATTGAATATTTTAAGACACTATAATTATTTGAGAATATGAATCGCTCAAATGCTATAAATTCAAAGTAAAAAGAAAATAATAATTTTAATTAAATTTGATTCCTAGAAATTAGTAAAATAAGTGTGACAGCATTTCTTATAACAGAGTAATCAATAATACTATAATTACACAATTGAACTAATGAATGTAAATTATGTCCAGTGATATAAAGAGAAAAAGTTATACAGCAAAAACGTTAAAAAGAGATATAACATAATATATATAATGTTAACATTAGTTATTTTATAAAACTCTAATTGCTTAACTTACTGTAACTATACAGTATAAAAAATTTCAAAATTTAATTTCACCATTGCATTTTACTACAATCAATTAAGTATTTTTTAAATGTTATTAATTATTATAATTTATAAAAAGTCAATTGAATATATAATTTAATATATCTATCAAATAGAGCAGTAAATTATATAATTTATATTAAATAGTCTAAATTAAAAATAAGTTATTTGAGTAGTAATGCGTAAATCAGCAAATATGATGAGTTCATAAAGTTAAATATAAAGGAATAACATTTTAAATCTATCTCAAAAGCTTAACATTACTGTTAAACAAATAATTGATTACTTGGGAGGTGTAAATACAATAAGCTTTATACTACAAAATAAATGAATCATTTTTAAAACTATATATAAACTGAATATTTTAATTTTTTCTTCCATAAATTTACCGATTTTTCATAATAACTATTTGATTAACTAGTAATTAAATAATTTAACTATAACTAAAACAAGTGAAAATGAATTTCTCTAGCAAAATGCATATTACTTTACTAAAAATAATAATTTCAAATGTAATCATTGTTTATACAAATGATGAGTCGAGTCAGAATACTGAAAATCAAACATCTATTACTATTGACCATATGAAAAAACTCATCAAAGATTATCCTGCATTTATACAGTTGAAATTACAAAAACAAGATTATTACACAGGAAAAGATATAGCTCGTTGTCCTATGCCTTACAACGAAAACACTATATTAGACGATCCTGATGTTGTGGAGTATAAGTTTTTCAACCCAAGAAATTGTAAAAAACCTTGGACTTGGACGCGAAAAAATGAAATAGATGTTCCAGTACCCATTAACGGTACCATTGGTCAAAAATTAGGAGAAATCATTCGACCGTGTCTTAAAGACAACACTAATATAATCCAGTGTTATACGCACTATCTGAATGTTATCGAAAGCGTTGGTTTAACATTAATAGACAGATTTTGTTTGTTTTCAATTGAACTTCGGGATAAAGTTGAAGAAATGGTAAATAATGTAGATTATTTAGAAGAATATAGTTTGTTTAATATTACATTCAATTTTCCAGTAATATTTATCACTATAGAAAATTTTAAGCAACTTTTTTATAAGATATCTTTTGCATTTAAACGTTATTTTATTTCTACGCTACCTATTGACTGTGTTGCGAGTATCCTGGAGAAAAAAACTCCAAGAAAAAAAAGGTATAATATACCGCTCGAAATAAACTTTCATAAATATTATAAAGACTTCCCAAAATGTCGGAAATTAATGGAATCAAAAACAAATTATGCTATTTTAAAAAGTGATCAATACTGGAAATGGGATAGTACATCTGATCCCAGACCTCTTAAAAGTTTAATAATGTTCGCACAATGCAAAGATAATATTGTAGGATTAAATCTGTTTAATAATGATCATTTAGAATAATTTTACATTTGTATTTGAAATATTAGTAAACTTTTAAAACTTCATTTTCTAAAATAAGAATCAGTTATAAAATAATTTTGTAAATTATTAATGAATGTTTAAATTTAATCTTGAATCTTGTAACATTTATTTTTGTAATTGATTTGTTGTATCATAGAATTCTCTAATGTAAAAATAATTTTTTGTACAAATTCTTCAATAAGTAAATTTTTAAAAATTATTAAAAAATTCTTTTGGGACTATAAAATGTTTTTTTTTGTGATTTAATAAAAGATACTACCAAATGTTCGCTATAATTTAGTCATTTTTGATTATTTTGTATTAATTAATATTTTATCTATATTAGTCATAATATTAATTATTAAATTTAATAACACTTTATTTTGTATGTATAGTTTAATTTTTGTTTACCTTGCTATTAGTTTCAAGTTGAAAATCGGTACGGCTATTTGCCCTTTCATTTATGTCTACTACAAGATATTTAAAGTTAGGTACTTTTTCAAACGCCACGACTTCCATTGAAATTGAGTTTTGGTTATGTTGACTTCATGATACAAAGTTCATGGTATTTAGGTATGTCTTCTTTAATGTTTATTCCTATACTTTTACTTTGCTCTATTAATTTATTTGCAGTATTTCTCACATTATTATTATATCATTCGCGTACACTGTCATCGCCATATTTTATTTTCCAACATTCAGACCTATGGAGTTTTAATGCAAGAGAATTAATAGTTTTTAACGCTTACACAATGTTTACAAGATATCAAACCTTATGGTTACCATTTTACCATTTAAAAGAACAAAAAAAAATAATGCTATTTAAATAGACTTTATTTAAAAACAACATATGATGTAAAATATAATAATTTTAGTTTATTATATGTTGTATTTAAGAATACGATAACAGCGTTCATTATAACAATAAAAATTGTCCGTTAAATAAAATAAAGTTAAGATTAAACTAGTTAATTTTACTCATAAAAAAAAATTTTGTTCAAGTAAAATATTTTTAACTCATATTTGTTTACTTTATATTTATTTAATATTTATCATTATTTAGTAATTGAATTTGAATAGAGTATACACACGAAAATGAATAAATTATTTATTTATGAAAGGGCATTACAACTTGCATAATGATTAAAATATCAACACACTAATAAAGTAATAATTCATCGTAAGTGCAATAGATCATAGCAGCACATTATATGTTATTCGCATTATATTTTCATGGCGAAATGAAACAAAAAGCACATAATTATTAATGCACTGGAAGTATACAATATTTTAACAAAATGATTACTAACCAATACGAACGATAACTCTAGCGATTGGTTATCATATTATTCTGTTACACGGTCCTGTGAATAAATTTCACTTTAATTTTTTTTCTTTGTAATTTATATCGATTGTCCAATTACATTTTACTGGTTATGAACGTTATACACAAGCGCACGCTCATAATCTGTAGACTCCAGAAAACTAACCCAGTCGTTGTATACGGTTCGAAATCAACCGAAAACATGTAATCACATTTTCTTTTACCGCATTACTATAGTGATATTGTTATACACGGAAAAAACTGTATAATTAACCATGTACAATATTTTAAGCAATCGCAGCGCGTACAATTAGTGTTTGCGGAACAAACAATAATGTATTCTGTGATTTTTTTTAATACAAAAGAGGAAATTAACCAACGCAGGGATCAACACAGTGCCACCGTCCACTAGGCCAGTCACGTCCTACGGTATCATAGTAATAATACACTTAATATTCTCCAATCGCATGTATTCGAAATATATAATGCGCTAACATTAAATTATAACTTTACCCTCGATAGATTATGTCTATTTAAGCAGCA